TAGAATACTAGTCCAAACACTTTTTTATTAGCTAAAAATACATTTCAGTCCAGCTTATGCTCAGGCATGCTGCAATCCATTTCCTAATGGATTCCCAGTTTTTGTTAAATTCAAAGGGCTGTTAGTAACATACAGCATGTTCTTCACTCCACACCATATTATAAAGCCCATTTTTTCACTTTAAGTTATAGTCACCTTGTGGACAAAAACTGGGTTTGTTCTGGTAACATTTGCACGTCCAAGATTTCCTTTTGCAAGTGCACATGAATACATTGTGGTGGTGTAAAAGTCTGTTAATGACAAATTAAGTCACAGTATAAAAATATATTGAACACCTTTACACCTAATATAGTCCTTTTTCTATGGATTAAAAAAAATACAACTGAACAAAACAGAGAAGTTTGTGGCACCATGAAGAGTTGTATCCCAAGTTACATTAGCAGCATGATCCAACAGTATTGAAGGAGTGTTTCTGAGAAGATAAACATTCATTCTGGTTCATCTGTACCACTGAAGCTTATACAATAAAGTGTTTTATACATTAGCAATAGCTTTGTGTCAATGCTAGAGCTAGATGCCTTATCAAAAGACACTGCCTTCCATCCTCAGATGGTTGATAACATTGCAGAAGGGACTAAGGGTGATCTAAGTGTGCCTTTACCAACATAGGTAGTAGTATCTTGTTTCATATGATCAAAAGAGAACTCTGTATCGATCATATGTGTAGTGCAAAACCACACAACATACTTTTATGTAGATCTATGTAATCACAACAGATTATCTGTGTTGTAGACATGGCTGCTGACCGTGAGAGAAAAACAAGACAAATTCAACTTGAGGCACTCATTTGTCAGAGATAGCAGTTTGCCATTGCTAATGACGAATACTCAACATTGAAAAGATCTCCTCCAACTTCATATGGATCTCAGTAGGCTAGAAGCAACTTGGGTGAACTGGTATATTTTAACTTATGTACTGGGAAGACAGTGTGTTTTGAGACACGTAAACCTTGTAAAAAAATAAACCATTGTAAAACCTTATGAAAAGACACACACTGATTCTGTGCAATATAGCAAATTGATAAGAAAACACTGTAAAAATGTACCTGTTTAAAATACCATCTACCATTTTTATACACAAAGCATTATATATCAAAGGCCTACATATATATCATCTAATGGCACTTGAAACAAATTATAATAAGTCTTAAAATAAAAGGCAAAACCTATAAGAAAAGCTTCTGTAAAGGTTTAGATTCATCTTGAAAGTGCTATATCTTGTAATATGTGTAATATAGAGGTTGACCAAGCTCTATTTTAAAAAAAATATTGGCCTATAATATGTGTATTGCTCACTAGATGAATGATCCTGAAAATATGTACTCTTTAACATTCATTATTAGCTTAATAAAGCAATCAGCTCTGGCTCATGTTTCAGTCAGTATATGGTTTTTAAAAACCGCTACTGCCCAAATTAACACAATATATCACTATATCCCACAAATGCCTAATAATAATAAAGAATAAGCAACAAATAGGCAAAAATACATAGCTTGAAAGAAACAGGAAATGAAACTTAAAAGTTGCACAAAGAGTGGTGCACGATCAGCCAGGACAACTGAAGTTTACAAAACTGAACTTGCTAATAGGATTTTAAAATGAAAGTTTTAACAGTGACTAATAACTATTAATATCTGTATACATGAATTGTTAATATTGCTTACAGTGCCAAGAGCCTTCCACACTCACACTTCCATGTTTGGTGACCTATGTGGACACACAAGTGGAAGTTCAAACTGAATGAGAGGTTCAATATCTTGTCTGAGGTCCAAATTTCAAACTAAAATATCTTTATTTAATGATAATTCCCCCCCACACACCCCCCTTTTTTTCTTAACCAAGCTAAGGCACTACCAGAAATTTCAAGGATGATGATTCTGGCCACTGGAGAATGAAAGCAACATTGGCAATAATCCTTTTTAGTCACATCTGGTTGACATAATAACAAATGGCAAGGTTTTCCTACTGGGGGGAAAGAGCCAATTCTGTGTTAAATCCTGGTTAGAACGTTGTGCAATTAAAATAAATGAGTCTGCCTCATCTTTAATAGAAATTCTTGCAAGAAGGGTTTAGTTTAGTGACCACTACAGTCAATTTTAAAAACAAATTAGCTGAGTCCACTCTTATTTTGAAGTGTTATTTCAAGTCTGGGACAGCAACAGGCAAAGAGGTGTATGTATGAAAATTAAGACTCCACACTTTAACACTGATGCCCTGAAGTATTTAACTCCATTCAGGGCAAGAATTAGGCTTTTAAAAAATTATATATATATATATATGAATGTATGTATGTGTATATATACACATATATACATGTATATGTACGTGTGTGTATACACACACACACACACACACACACACACATATATATATATATACACCATTCCCCATTTCTAGAATGCTTTATTTAATAAATCCTGGTACTCCTTTTCTTTTAAAATTAGCAGTGAAATACAGCCTACTAAGGCCAATGTCTCAGTTTATTAATTTGACTTCTGTTTATGCAAAGTTTAGACAGAATAAGCAGTGCTTTCCACACTTGCTATTTTTTTAAAATTTTAAAATAAGGTTTTGATATATTTGTGCTCTGTCATCAAATTTATCTTTTTTAAAAATTGGTGATTAAAGCAATATTGAACACTAATCATTCAACTAAAGTTTTAGGTAAGCAATCTGTTTCATAGAAACTAAAGGAAGCTGTAATGAAGCAGAGCTAAATGTCTACTTTCAGAGCAAATATTCTCCTAATCAAAAGCTTAGGAGCAGTTTGAAAATTTTAAAAATGTATTTCCTTATTAATATATATAATTTTAATGCCTTTGGAACACAATTTTCTTTATAAAATGTAATTTTTCATAATAAAATTTAAATATTTAAGTATAAAAACTACAGCCCCTAGGATTAAAAAAAAAAAAAAAAAAAAATAGGAGCATGATAAAATATCAGAAGCCAAAGCTCCTTAAGAGAGCAATTTTGATTCTATGAAGTGCGATACATATGTGTGTGTGTGTGTGTGTGTATATATATAATATACATAGTGAAACCCCCATTTACATTATTACAATTTACATTTCTCCACAAATTATACTATCCCAAAATCTTTTAAATAGTGTACTATATTCAGTAATAGGCACTCATTTTTAGAAATTCTTGGTAAACATCTCAATCTGCAGGGACAATTGGCCCTATAAAAGAAAAAAAAAAGCTTCCATATAGGGCTAATGAGTGCTCAGAAGTATTTTTCTTTCTTGTTTTCTTTTTTTTAAAGAGATATATACTCTTTGATAACTATCCTTCCCAACCCTACCCTGACAAACAGGGTCGTATAATAAGGTGTTAATAAGTGCTTAATAGATATGTTTCTTAGGTTGATATCCCTACTGACACTTAGAGAAGCTATAATAATTTGACCTTTGAGAAGATTATGGTGGTCCAACACGAGGAAAGCCCTTAATAACCATACCATTTAGTGAAAAAAAAAAAGATTTTTTTTTACACGAAGTAAGTTATTTTTACATGAACTAAGATACTGCTTGCTTCACTTTACTTTGTCCCCCTCTACAAATTCAACTTATTTGCAACATTTTCCCCATTTCCCAGAGATGTGTAAAAATGGGGTTTTACTGTATATATTTTTAGTCACTTACAACTTTGTGGTAATTCCTCAAATAGTCTCATAATGCATTTAATTTTAACTTCTCCATCCCCAAATTGCAAGAACAGATGAACTAATACTGAGTAAGAAAGTTACTATGGTCAGGGCTATTGCTTTGTTTCCTACTTTTAGCCCTTAACGGAAAGAAAAATATACTAGATTCAACAAGAAGCGATGTAAGCAATATGCTTTTACTTTTTCTCTAAAGAGCCCAGCTTTCAAATCTAGTGACAGGAGATATAATTCCTAACAAGTCTCTAAGTTTAACTGTATGATTCACATCTATCTTTTACTGCTTAGGTGTCTATCACACAATATAAACAGAGACAAACACACCTAACCCATGTGGTTCCACACTAGCTCTTAAGATTCCTGACTGTGGACCTAAGATCAAATATGAAATTTCTGTCTGCACTTGACCAACCCTTGGGCTGTGGAAGGTAGAAAAGATTAGAGAGAGCTACATATTGATTCTGAAGACTCCAATGCCATATGCTATTAATGTTATTAAATGGAAAGATGGCAAGTAAAGAAAGCTGAAACGTGGCAAAATATCCTGTGTACTAATTTAAGGTCAACTGTTAAGTAATATGGAATGCCATGTCACCTTACTGGGAGTTTTTTTTTTTTTTTTTTTCCTATAGATACTGGTGCTTTGCGTTTATGTTTGTTTTTTCCTTAGATGCTCATAGTTAAGGACAGCAAATATTTCATCCAAGACAATAGCAAGTCTTCAAAATATACTGACCTGAAATTGTAATGTACCTAGGAAAATTTGTTCTCTCTCCCAAACTGGATTCTTACTTCATCTGAAACACCTGATTATGAATCAATTTAGAGACTAGTAGAAATTTAAAAACTCTGGTTATTCATATACATTTTGTAAAATTTCCATTCTGTTGCAAAATTTTTAAATGAGCCAAATGTCAAAATGTAGAGCCACTGTTCTCACACAAGAATTAAAATGTTAAGTTTAAACATATTTTGAGCACGGATTTGTAAAACTTTACTAATAATGGCTCTGCTAGATGGCAGGAAAAAAAAAAGATGTTAAGAGATGACAATTGGCAGTGAATCAGGACAAAATACCCAAGTAAACATAATTGAACACAGAATGGTTTTGAAGCTGATTTAAAAAGCTAGTTTCTATTTCATACTGGCTTAATGAAAATTGGTACTATACAAAAGCAGAAATTTTTATAATGTCTTAAAAGTAGGCACTAAAATAAAAATGGTCATCTAAGGCAGGGCTACACATACACTTTTGTGATAAATCCACATCTGGGATGCTACTGGAAAGCCTGATGGAAACGTGGTAGGGTGGTGCTTGTGCTTAAGCTACTGGTGAAGGCTGCAGACAGAGAGTGTAGAGACCCAAGACCTATAGTGTTGGCCGGATCTTGCAGATCTTGTGTTTGTGGGGGCAGCTGAGACACAGAAGAATGTGCTTCTTCTTGGGAATAGCTCATTCCAAGGCTCCCCACTGATATAGGATTATAGGGCGGACCATTTAATGGTATGAAATTAAACAACTGAGAAAAATCCAATGCTGGTGTGTTGAGGGGATCACTAATGGAAATGGAGCTTTTGGACAGGGAGAGCTCCCCTGCCCCATCATCTAAGGGCCCAATTTGAGGATCCAACCCAAGTTTAGATGACGAGGCTTGGGAATCCTGGGATGAAGAAGGCATGCCACCTTGTAACTCCATCAGGTAACTCTCAATTTCCCCCTTTAATGGCTGTTCTTTCTCAGGAATAGAAATTGCGTATGAGGTAGAACTGAAGGGATATTTGAAAGAAAGGTGGTGAGATGGATGAACAGCATCCATGTCTATTGGGCATGTCATTCCTAAAGGTAAAGTTGTGATCATTTGGTGGGCAGATCCTGAACTCTGCATGGACTGAAATGGAGTGTTATAGAGGTTTAACTGCAAAGTGTTTGTGAATGGCTTTGACAACAGTTCACTGGAAGGTAAGGACATCACTGGAAGTAGCTCATCTTTTATAGGCACAGAAACGTTGCAGGTAAATGGATCCAGAAAATCCACGGGTTCTGTTTTGACTTTCAGAAGTTCTTGATTGTGACTCTTTTTCATATGTCGAGTCAGGTGGTCCTTCCGTCCAAATCTCTGTGCACAATACTGACAGAGGAAGTCCTTTCTTCCAGTGTGCACTACCATGTGCCGGCGGACATCCTTTCGAGTGTAGAACCGACGGTCACAATGCTCGCACTGGTGCTTTTTCTCTTTAACTCCTCCAGATGACTTGCCTGCGTGAGACTTAAGGTGCTCCAGAAGCACTCCTGTACTTTCAAAAGTCTGCAAACACACCTTGCAGGTGAGGTCACCACTCGTTGCAGCATGCAAGGCCAAGTGACGCTTAAATCCAAGCTTGGTATTGTAATTCTTGCCACACTCTTCACACTTAAACGTCTCTTTGTTAGGATCGTGTGTATGTAGGTGATTCTTCAGATGATCTTTTCGATGAAACATTTTCTCACAATAATTACACTTGTGCGTTTTCTCAGGAGAATGAGTAGCCATGTGCCTTTAAACACAGATATATTCTGTAAGTAATTATTATGACAAAAATGGCAATGACTGCACTTTTCAAATGGAAGCTAAACTACTATGCTAGAACAGAATTCCTTTAATAATGGAAATTTTTTAACTCATAACATACCACAAGGATTGTTAATATACCTAAACATTACAAAACCTGAGCCAGTTAAGTTGCCACTTTAGTTTTTGGTTTTTAGCTAACATTACAAAACTGAATATACTCACGCAAATGTCCATAACCACAAATTCTCAGTTCCTACACTTTTCTTGTAGTAATTTCTTTGTACAAATGGAAATTTTACTCTCATTAAGCATTTTATTTAAAAAAACAAAAAAATCCAAAGAAATTAACACACAGAAGTAGGTGGTTTAAAATACTAAACACTAGCCAATGTCTAACTACTTAACATTTCTTCTCTGCAAATCAACTAAAAAATGTGTATACAAATATATACGTTTACAATGGCTTAAAATGGCCAACATAATAGAAATATAATCTGAAAGACAAATAGAGTTTAATACCTTTGTAATTTGTACTTAGAAACAAAGGCCTTGGTGCAGTCTTGTTGTATGCACTTGTAGGGCCTCTCTCCTGTGTGAGAGTAGGAGTGAACCTTTAATTTCTCAACACTGTTAAAGGCCTTGTCACACAGTTGGCAAGGAAAGTTTTTTCTTGGTTTGGTTTCACCACGCTTACGTTTCCCTGAAGGGACTTTCTGGGTATCTCTCACTTCTGACAAGTCACCAGGAATGACAGTGGCCATCGCAGCCTAAAGCAGGCCTTCTTGTTGGACACTTGGGAACTGCCCAACTCCACTAAATGATTTAGCTTTAGGTGGCTTCTCAAGTTTCATGTGGTCGTAAAAGAAAGCAAAAAGGGACTGGAAAAAAAAATAAGAAACAACTAGTTTGTAACTAAACTTAATTTTTAAAAATTTTATTTGCTATGTGATGCTTTTGAATTAAAAAAGAAACCATAAAACTGATTCAGCTGGTCTAATGTAATATCTGCAGGTTTCTTTATACTTGTCAAAATTCACATATATGCATTGCTCAGGATGAACAGTTCACACATACCCTGAAATTGCACCTGACAGATGTTGCACTTTGGGATAGCAGTAGCGATTTCAAGGAAACACCAAAACTCAACACTAAAAGTGGCATCGTTAAGCTTCAATTTTCACAAGGGATTAGAAAACATAAGCCTGACTAAATCTAAAAATGTTTCAACAAATATTTTAATGTCTAAGATTATTTTAATTAGTGTATGTCCATTCTAGTGACAATCTGCACTCTTGGAAAATACAGATAAGCAACTGAAAACTCTTTTAGGCACCTTGTGAACCAATTATCCTAAGGAAGAAGTTCTTAATGCATTGACACTAGACGCTTGAAAGAACTGAACACACCACCCAAAGTGAAAATTTACGTTTTATACAATGTCACCACACCCAGAGGGCTTTGTGAGTACAAGTATAGAAGAGTTTATCTTCAAAAGAAATATGCATTCTTAAATGGTAAACCCTTTTGATGTTATATTAGGTGAGGATCATGGTTCCTGAACATTTTTCACCTTACAGAGATGATTATGTTCCCTGCGTACATTAAGGTTACTGGATAAGCCAGAGCCATGAGGCCGCCCCAATAGCTGCGGTGATCAGATTCTGACACACCTGCAACCCACATACTGCATTTCAGTTTGGAGTTTTGGCTTAAAGAACAGTATCTATGTAAGAACATATCATTACAGAGGTGCTTTGGATTGGTTAAAAAGGCATGTCAAGTTTCAATTCATATCAGTGCTGTGAGAAAGAATGAAATGCACAGTAAACGGTATTTTTTTAAAACAAAAAATTTAAAATTGGATTGAAAGAGATAGTAAATCTTATCAACTTTATTTCTCAGAATAAGAAAACCAATTCCTTTAAGATCCAATTAACATAAGAATTAAAAGGCTCCTCAATATCTGTGAATGTTAGTCCAGCAAAGTACTTTTAAGAGACCTCAGAAATGATAATACCTGAAACCTGTTTAAAAAGATATGATTTTTACACTGAAAACTGGTATCAACTAGTATAAAATCAATTGGATTTTTCATTATATTTAGAAAAAAATGAAAACCAACTTCTTTATATCATTTGTGCTTTGCATTAGACTTAATACTTGCCCTTCACAAGCTAAGTCTATTACAATGACTACACAGATTCCAGTTAAACTTTTGCAGGGACTGAAAGCATGGACTGCTAACCGAAGAGCTGATGGTTTGACCCCACCCAGTGAAGCTTCTGAAGACAGGCCTAGTGATCTGTTCCACTGGGTCACAGCTTTGAAAACCCTATGAAGCAGTTATAGTCTGCATACATGGGGTTGCCGTAAGTTAGAAATGACTTGGTGGCAACTAACAACAACAAACCAATCCTCTAAAGTACCTATCTACACTTTTGTAAAATTAAGTGTATCTAACAACAGATCCTCCTATAGTATTTTAATGCAGAGGTTATTGCTAAACAGGCAAAAAAGAGCAATTATTCACTCATTACATTGAAGTAGCAAATAAAGCATATGGATAATAAGTTAATCAGTATTTGTTTTCAATTATGCTTTTTCAGTAGGAAGATAAAAGCATGGCCTTGTACTGTCAAAATTTAAACTTCCCTTCGAGTTTAAAAGTGACATTAATACAATTAATGTAACTCCACTGCCTCCCTCAGAAATATATAAACAACTGTTCTGCTGTTGCCAATAATGACATTAAACTGACAAGATTCTGTCAAGGCAGGCAAAAAAACTGACCATCTGATTTCTTCACATGATCCTTTTATTCACCTATTTAAAACACTGTGAAAAAAGCTGATAAATTTTTCAGTTGCAAAATCAACAAAAAATGCAAAGTTTCTAAATCCCTGTATACAACTAATAATCTGAAAATATTTCAAAGACTGGTCATATTTGTCATTATTGTGCTACAAGAACCAACCATAATGCACAGAGAATTCCAGTTGAGAAAAATGATGACATCTAAGTTATTGAAAAAAAGGTATTAAAAGTATATCATGAAGTTAATTTACAAACATTTTGATTACATTAAAATTGGTGACACTCAATATGGAGTAACAAATTCTGTTACCTTTGGATGTACATACTGAGCAATGAAGAATTGCACTGATTTCAAATATTACACTTTTCTAAGACCAGCTGAAATTTTTTCATGGCTAATAATATCTTTTTATTTTTATATATTACAAAACTCAAATTAGTTATCATAGGTGCTTTTAAAACTGTAGGATAAACATTAGGTTGAGAGTTCAACACATAATAAAAGACTACATTCATATATTTGTATTAATCACTTTAATGGCACAGACAGAACTGCAATGATTTCTGTTCAATGCATACCTGATGATAGGTGCGAAACGCCTTACACTTTGATCTTAGCCAGTCCCATTGACTCTTTGTGGAAGAGAGCGGAATCCAGTTCTTCCCATTTTGGCCAATCTGGGAAATAAAAAATAAGAATGGACTATACTAAATGGAACCAGTGTGTAAATAATGGAAAACAAAGGATAAAAGAATTGCAGTTTCATGGCACATGCTTACATTCCATACTCTGCTGATGAGTCATGCAGTAATTTTCACCAATTGCATATATTTATTAGTTCTAAGCACATCTACATGACCAAATAAAGGCAGAAATAAAAAGTAAAATAGTATTACCTAGGTAAATGGCAATTTGTGATGCTGAATGACTCCCTACTTCTTTCCAAATACAATTTATTTATTTATTTTTAAATCTAACTAGGCTATAAAAGAAGTGGGTGTTAGGATTACTGTTTATAAACCAGATTGATGAAAATGTCATTATGCTTAATAATGGTAAGGAAGAGACAAGCACAGTTTTGTCTCTGAGATTGCATATGGAATCTTACAAAAAAACAAGAGTCCTGATAAAAATACTCATGCCCACATTGCATATGCTTGTGCAACTTGGGCTTCTCTGAGCCTCACTTCTATTACCTGCAACACCTACAAATTTATTTTTCAGAATGTTGCAAGGACTGCTGAACTGTAGTAACAACTCAGTACTCTTTAGATTTCAAAAACATGCAAGGAAAGTTAAATATAATATAGGTTTGTGATATGAGAAGAGGTATTGGGAACAAACCATTTGGTTTAAGACATCGTTGTTGTAAAATCTTTAACTAGCTTAAAAATGCTTATTAACAGCATGATCTTTAGTAGACTAAAACACATATAGAAACTATTAGTAATTCTTTTTCTAAAAAAAATAATTCTTGATTCTATGATTAAATGTGAAAAGAATAACGGTCAAAGGCAGAAAAATCTAGAATTATCTGTTACAGCGATGACAGAGCATAGACAGATAAACTGAGTATCTTAAAAATAAACTATTAAGAAATCAGGATTATAAGAATGTGAGATATATATAATTTAATATATATCTTTTAATAAGAACTTTATACACATATTAATCAGATAGTTAAAATAACAAGAGGATTTGCAAATGACAAGTTAAATAAAAATAACTTTAAAGTCCTAAACAGAACTAGTTATTTCCCCTGAAATCTAATCTTCACTTACTCTAAGATTTTGATGATGCATAAATATTCAACAGAGGACATTCAAGCATCATTAAAAAATACTAATGGGTGTATTTGAAAGCAGTAGCATTATTCTTTTATTTTAAAGAAGAAAATAAAAATTTAGACCAATAAAAGATATTTTAAAAGTTAAAGCAATAGCTCCATTCTTTTGTAAAGCACAGGGCATGCATAAATAGAAGAACTGAATTCTGCACATCAAAGTTGCAAAACAATGAAATTAACTTTGTAAATACTTACTTGCCCAGGGCACATAATGAGTTTTGGACAGGGTAATTAAGAATAGGAAGTTTGTGTCTTATGTTATTTTAATCACATAAATACCTGACAAGTGTGGAGTGTTTTCATCGCTATTTCCTCCCTGGAACTCAATGAACCCAAGTGGTGGATGGCAGTTATCATCATTGCCATTTTAGAGGTGAGAGGCGGATGGAAGCTGAATAAACTCGACAGCACAGATGTAGTCAAGAAAAGGCCTAAACCATAAAATTCCTATTCCAATCTTTTAGTTTACCATATTCTGTGAGAAGGGCAGGTTAGTGATCCAACTTGGAAGAGGATAAATTTTTTCTCTATACTTAAAGGACAAGACTAAGAGACACTGGCTATTTTCTCTATTAGAGCTGCCAAATGCAATTCCTCAAAGGAAACAAATCTAAGACTTAAAATAGATTTTAAATAATTCAAATAATAGTTAAAATAACTAGTATATCCGTCTATCTTGGTTATCTAGTGCCACTTTAACAGAAATTTATTCTCTAACAGTTCTAGGAGGCTAGAAGTATGAATTCAGGTTTCAGCTTTAGGGGAAGGCTTTCTCTCTTTGTCAGGGCTGGGGGAAGGTCCTTGTATCTTTTCAGCATCTGTGGGCCTGTTGTTCCTTGCAGATCTCCACGTGTCTTGGCATCAATCTTCCCCTGCATCTAGGATGTTCTCATCACAGGAACCCTGGGTCCAAAGGATGTGTTCTGTTCCTGTGTTTCTTGGTAGGAGTAGGTCCCTCCCTTTCTGCTCACCTCTCTCTCCTTCTATCTCTTGTAAGACAAAAATTGATGCAGGCCATAACCTAGGAAACTTCCTTTACATCAGCTCAGGACTGTGACCTAAGTAAGGGTGTTGCATCCCGCTCCAATTCCTTTACATCTGATTGGCTGATCACATCATGAGCAATGATTATATCATTACATAACTGCCGGATTACATCATTACGTAACTGTCAAACTGAGAATCAAACCCAGCCAAGCTGATACCTGGCTTAGGGAGGGACACAATTCAATTCATAACATTCCACGTTTTGGCTACCAAAAATTCATGAATTACGTCCTTGCCACATGCAAAACACATTCACCCCATTATATCATCCCAAAAGTCCTAAATCAATTCCAAGTCCAAATTCCATCCTGGAACAAAATTCCTCTTCATCTGTGAACCTGTGAAATCTAGAATACAAGTTATCAGCTTCCAAAGTATAATGGTGGAACAGGTAACAAGGTAGACATTTTCAATACAAATGGGAAAAATTGGAGAGAAAGAAGGACTAACAGGTACCAAGCATGTAAAAAACCCAGAACAATTTAATTAGCTCTTAAGTCTTGAAAATAACCCTATGTTCTCTGAGACCATCTAGGCAGTAGCCCTGTGCTCCAGATTCTTGGGTACTGGCCATGCTCTCTGGATTCTGGGTGGAGGCCTCTTGGCCCTGGGCTTCAGTTCCACCTTTCAGGCCCACTAGGATGGCAACTCTGTTCCCTCGGCTTTGGGCAGACCCAATTCTCTTAGGCCAATTGAGTGGTGACCCCACCTCCTTGGCCTCAGGAGGGCCCCTGTGGGCATAGAAGCCCTGCCCCCTCAGCTTTGGGCACCAGATTCGGCCCCAACCCTGGGCACTTGTGAAAAGCAGCCCCATGCTCCAGAAGCGAGCTGGTGAAGAGAAGATCTGACTCTTTGAAACCTAGAAGGTCGGAGACCCACCCTTTGAGACCCAGCAGCCTGACAGTTCCATCTTTTGGGACCACAAAGGTCATGGTTATATTCTCTGAGACTGAGGTAGCTCTACTTCATTGCTTCCTGTCTCTTCAGCTTCTGTTTCCTGGCTCCTTGGCCTCTTGGGCCAGCATGGCCTTTGCCCTGCTCAGTCAAGTGTTATAAATTCTTTAGCTCTATAGATAAGTGCCTGGAAGTATCCCACTCCATCAATAAGCCTTGGCCCGAAGGTGCTCAGTTCTTTTGCTCTGTGGGTTGAGTTGGAAGTTTAGCTTTGCTGGCAAGTGCTCAAAAGCACCCCATTCCACCAAAAATCCTCCTTCCCATAGGTATTCAGCTCTCTTGCTCTGTGGGTCAGCTCCTATGCTGTCTTCCTGGTTCTGCTGCCACCATTTCTCTGCTGCTTCTTTTCACCATCTGCACTGTCACCAGTTGTTGCAACTCTCCTCACTTACTTCTGAGCCCACACTAGTATTGCCTTTCATCTTCATAATTCCACCAAGCCTCTTCAAGGCCATCTAGACTTTTCTTATTAGGCACCTTACAATTCTTCCAGCCTCTCCTTATTACTCAATTCCAAAACCACTTCCATATTTTAGGTATATCTGTACGAGTAGCACCCTACTCCCAGTACCAAATTCTGCCTTGAATATTTAGTGCTGCTATAACAGAAATAACCACAAGTGGATGCTATTGACGAATAGAAATTTATTCCCTCACAGTTTACGAAGCTAGAAGTCCAAATTCAGGGCACCAGCTCTACATGAAGGCTTTCTCTCTTTCAGCTCTGGGGGAAGATCCTTGTCTCCTTTTAACATCTGTGGGCCTGGCATTCCTTAGCGATCTCCTTGTGTCTTGGCATCAAACTTCCCCTGAATCTAGAGGGTTCTCAGCACAGGGACCCAGGGTCCAACGGATGCACTCTCTGCTCTTGGCTCTTCTTCCTTGGTGGTAGTCAAGTCCTTCCTTCTCAGCTCATTTTTCTCTCCTTTTATCTTTTGTTAACATAAAAGTGGATGTAGGCCACACCCCAGGGAAACTCCCTTTACATCACTTCAGGGCTGTGATCTGAGTAAGGGTGTTGCACCTCACCCTAATCCCCTTATAACTGACTGGCTGATCACATCAGATCACATCATGGGGAATGGTTAATATTATTACATAACTGCCAAACCACTGAGAATCATAGTCCAGCCAAGTTGACATATATTTTGGGGGGACACAATTCAATTCATGACACAGTCTGAGTGGATAGTGATTTTATTAGAAAAACACCTAAACCCAAAGTTGACTAGTAAACAATAAATTAGTATTTTTTTCTTTTTTCCTGACAAATGTAAGTTTTACTGCATCTTAAATACATTCATAAAATTTTTTATATTTACTGTTCAATGGTATTTTATAATAAAAATACTTCAGAGTTTACTAATACAGTTTAAAATTATATATCTTGCCTTGACATATCCCAATAATCTACAAATTACCTATGTTACATATTTCATTTTACAGTCTGAAATAATAATGAATAAAACCGTCCTTTGCATTCATTTTACTGCAAAACCTAATTCTAAGTCATGGTTACTTTCCCTAAATACAGTGTAATGATTCTTAGTTCTTATAAGTTGACAAGTATTTTATAGGGCGGCTATTTAACAAAACAAAGGAAACCAGGAGATAGCTAGAGTTAATTATTATTTGGCTTGATATAATAAACACAGAAAACTTATTTATGTAATCCTAACCAAAATATTAATTAACTTTATCTGTATACTCTCTTTGACAGGATTAAGGAAAATCTTTTTTAAAGTATTAAGACTAGTATTCTGCAAAGTTTACACCAAACATGTTTTCTTTTTTTAAGAAATTATCAAAGATTAGTTACTATGCTGTTCA